GGAGTGAAAGTCCAAAGACTCTCGTGGGCATTGATGGGGCCTCTCAGGGGAATTGAAGCGTGGCTCCACAGGCTCATGCTGTCTTCCTGCTTGTGGTTTCACACAAGCATTTCTGTAAATATTTGTGACCATGCCAGTCTTGTGGGTGCGTGAGAGTGATGTTTGTCTCTCACTGTCATTTGTTACCCTTTCCTCCTTATTTTTATTTATTTATTTATTGTTTTTCCCAAAGATTTCAGTGTCTCCACTCTTTTTACCGCCCTGCCTTTGGCTTCATTCTTACACCTCTATTTGCTAAATCCTTTCTGTGTGAAGTGTGCCAGCCAGGCAAACATGTTGTGATGATGAGGCCTGACCTGCTATCCTGCTCCTGTTGGCTCCAGACCAGCCTGTTTCACTGCCCTAGTCCGCCACCAATCTCTCTGATTATATCTCGCTCTCTAGGGAGGCATCGTAGAGAGCATCTCCGTCAGTGTGTGTGTGTGGCAGAGCACTGTGGCCTCCTATTAGCTCCAGTTTGTTTAGTGAATAGCAGCAGGTCCCAGTGGTATTTTTAGCATGCCCCCACCCCTTACCAGAATGGAGCGGCAGCACCAGTGCAGGCGCAGGTTCCATTAGCACTCCACCAGTTTAGCACCAGTATAAAACTGACCACACTATGTAAACACATAAGTAACCTTGGCTAAGCACTAACAGAACGTAAGGAAGCCTGAGGCTCCAGTAGAAATGTCTGTTTCTCAGTCCAACACAGTTGTTTCTTGGCCAAAGCAATCAAACGTGAAACAGGCGCACAAAACTTAAAAATCAGATTTTCTGCATTATTATAACGAGCTCATTCTTTTTGAATGGCTGAGCTGAGGCAGTGAGCCTGAGAGAAGCACATGCATCGCTCACACTGGCTGCAGAAACATCTGCCACCTCGTGAATATTGTGGAACTAGAAGGTCGGCGCCCTGCATTTCTTTCCTTTCAAACTGGGTCAGAGTTGCACAAACACCAAGTTTATTCCCCTTTGGTTGTCATTGTTCGACACGCGGCAGCACCGCTCTCTTCCGAAAAGCTCGGCAGTGTTCTCATTATCCGAACGCTATTCATGAGAATATTTTTAAACATCTGGCCTCTTAATGGGATCAGAGCATCAAAATCGCTCCATTATTCACCATCATAAAGCGGCGCTGATCATTCCTCACCCTGCAAATTCATCTGCTGTTTATGCCTCTTTGTTTGGCTGTTTCAATAACTTGGCATGCAAAGAGGACTCTTTTTAGTTGACAAATGCAAAGAGGAAATGATTTATTGCTGTTTTATTTATTCACCCTCCATCTCTCCCCTTTCCAGCCCCCCTCATCTCCATCACTGTACAGAAGGGAGGTTTTTTAATTTCTTGCATGAAAACAATGCCATTGCTTTTCTGGCTTCACCTGCCAAACAAGCCCCAGCCACACACGGCAACAGATGGCCTCCCATCATCGCTGAATGTCTGATTGATCCTGGGAGAGCACAGCGGCGTGCACCTGTGTTTGCGTGTCTGCGCGCGAGCGTGCGGGTGGCGTCTCACATCCTTCATGCATGTAATGTGTGCCGGTCCCAGGTGAATGCATTCCCCCTCCGTTCACCCTGATGCCTGCCCGCCTGCCTGCCTGCTGGCCCTGGGGATCGCTGGATGAATGGCTTTCCCTCCACATCTGTACACTCCCACACACACACAGGTGTAATTGAGTCCCAGGCTGGCGTGAGTAAGCGTTGGCCCCGAGTATCCATCCTCCTTATTACCATCCTGTTCAAGTTTTACGATGCCCTCGCTCGCTCTTCCTCCCTCTCTCTCCGCCCGTGACAAGGAGAGAAGGAAAATGAGGGGAGGATGTGAGGGATGGAGGGTGGCGAGCGCTTTAATGCTTGTGGTTGTGGTTGCAGGGTTATCACACGCCTAAATGATCAGCCATACTTCTCTCTCCTACTTACCCTGGCACCGTCTGCCTAGTATTTAAAACGCATTCCCGTAAGTGTGTAAAATATATGGCCGTGAAAAATACAGGTCGTAAAAAGGCTTTTATGGCGTTGGACTGCTGAGACAAAAGATTGAAACTGAAATAAAAAAACGAAACGGAAAACGGCTTTTTGAGGTTCGCTGCAGATTTGGACACGTTAATGTTACTCAGGTGTGATTGTTGCATTTCTCTGCACGTCTCTGTGCACAGATGCACTTTCACACTGAAAACTCCACTAAGAGTCTAAACATCCTGTATGAACCCGTGTAAGTGATGGCCTCACTTCTCCCCTTTCCTCCATAGTGACATTGAGGCTCGTGCCTTCTACTCTTATGCCCTCCAGAGGCTACCGGGGGTAGTGCGGTCAGGGAAGCCTCCACCAGTCTCCACCGAACTCCTTAAAAACAACACAGAGGATCCCTGGAGACCGTTCGACAAGTATGAACGAGACACAACATCCACAAACATCTTTACTGACTCATATCTCGCCTTGATGTGATTGTTTGCTTCTTGCAGGTTCAGGGTGTATATGGCAGACCTGGAGTCAGCGCTGCACTACTCCCTGCGCGTTGAGCTGGGCGCTCAGTCTGTTTTCCAAGGGCGGGCACTGACTTCTCTCAAGGCTTACATCTCTGTCTTGGCCAAGGTACAGTTAGCAGAACTTTCAGACACAGCAAGTACAAAAAACAGCAGATTTGTATTTTTTAAAGCAGTTTGCTCCTCGTTGTCTGACTGGATTTGTTATCTTGACGTATACTGACTACTGAACACTGTTGTGGTCAGAAAAGCATTAAAAAAACTGTTTGTTTCTAGATATTAATAAAAATAAACTAAAAATCTGCTGAACATGAACTTCATCAGGCGATGTTGTAGCTCAAGTCCTGCAGTTGCAGCAGGTCACCACTAGGTGGAGATTGAGACAGCAGAATGTGGGTTAAAGCTGCAGATTTGAGTTTTCCTGTTCCAGCGTTTGGCTTTTGTTTCCCTTCGCATACGTTATTAACTTTGGTCTCCGTTACTTTGTTACAGTTATATCCTGTTGTGCGTACTGTTGTTTGTATGCGCACTCATAGACACACAAACATGTCAGAAAGCCGGAGTGAAAGTCCAAAGACTCTCGTGGGCATTGATGGGGCCTCTCAGGGGAATTGAAGCGTGGCTCCACAGGCTCATGCTGTCTTCCTGCTTGTGGTTTCACACAAGCATTTCTGTAAATATTTGTGACCATGCCAGTCTTGTGGGTGCGTGAGAGTGATGTTTGTCTCTCACTGTCATTTGTTACCCTTTCCTCCTTATTTTTATTTATTTATTTATTGTTTTTCCCAAAGATTTCAGTGTCTCCACTCTTTTTACCGCCCTGCCTTTGGCTTCATTCTTACACCTCTATTTGCTAAATCCTTTCTGTGTGAAGTGTGCCAGCCAGGCAAACATGTTGTGATGATGAGGCCTGACCTGCTATCCTGCTCCTGTTGGCTCCAGACCAGCCTGTTTCACTGCCCTAGTCCGCCACCAATCTCTCTGATTATATCTCGCTCTCTAGGGAGGCATCGTAGAGAGCATCTCCGTCAGTGTGTGTGTGTGGCAGAGCACTGTGGCCTCCTATTAGCTCCAGTTTGTTTAGTGAATAGCAGCAGGTCCCAGTGGTATTTTTAGCATGCCCCCACCCCTTACCAGAATGGAGCAGCAGCCCAGCGGGGCTTTGTGTTGCTGAGGAGGGCGTCATTGTTACAGCCGACCGCCACTCGACGGCCCTTATTGACATTTGACTGAGAGGTCTCGCTGCACGGCGAGAATGCTTTAAGCCAGACTCGCTGTTAGTTGTGGTTTGTGAGACCGTGTTGGACACGAGAGCAGGAAACGCCTGCAGGTCGTGTTTACAGCAGCCAGCTGGATAATCTTTGACTCACTTTTTGGTTCGTCTAAAATCGCTCACTTTCTAACTGTTCTCTGCACCTGATCGCTAAAGCGCTACGTTTAAAATGAAACACAAAAACACCTGAGCGCCACGTGTGAGTCATGTGATTAGATTAGAGTGAAAGTGACTCACGATGGCCTGACCTTTGATGTCAGTGTTATTTCACTCTGCTGTCATGCTCCTTAATCATGACTCTTTAATGTGAGCTGAACCACACAGTGAGTGGAAAGCTCCACGCACTGGCTCACGTATGCCTACAAGTGATGCTTTCATATTAATTTAATCAGCATATTCATTTGTCATTCTTCTGCGTATCCAGTTAATTGTCTAAAAAGTCTGAAAATTATAGTTTTAAGTGATTCTAATGATTGTTTTTCATCAATTAAGGCTACGTCCACACGTACCTGGGTATTTTTGAAAACGCCGATTTTTCTATGCGTTTGCATCTTTCGTCCACACGTAAACGGCGTTTTCGGTCACTGAAAACGGAAGTTTCTAAAAACTCCGGCCAGGGTGGAGATTTTCTAAAACTCCGTTTTTACATTTAGGTGTGGAGGAGAAAAACGGAGAAAACACAGCGTCAAAGATGTGCGCCTTTTTTTGACGTCACACTGTGCGCCACGTTATTGTTTCGATGAAATGAATTTCTACAATACTGTTACTGTTACTTGTACTCTCTGCAGTGTTTAAATGCTTACATATACACACACAGTTACTGTCCCTCCATACCAGTGTTGCCAACTCCTCAGTAAGGAAAATCGTTATTGGCTGTCCTAAAAGTCGCTA